AAGGTGGCCCCGTGGATGCCTGCTATACTCAGAAAAGTGCACCATTAGCCAGAGAGAGGTTCAGAATGTGTCAGTGGGCAATGTCTTAATACCGAACTCATGCATGGACTATTCCAAGTGGGGGCGGTCTGTGCCTCAGTGTGTTGGGCGCCTGTGATCAGAAGGTCGCCAATTCAAATCCTGGGGTCGGCAGAGTAGTTTCCCTGTAACGTCCCTGAGCAGAGCCCATAACCAGCAATCGCTCCAGGGACTGGCTGACCCTGCTGTCTCAGCTGTACCTTGCTTTGTCTGCTAAATGTCTTACAGTCAGTCTTACAGTATGGTGGTGTGTATGGTTTATATTATGAGCGTGTACGTAGATTACCCCGCACACGCGTGTGCAATTGTGTGTTTGTGTGGTTTTCTTCACAGCTCTTCGGCATGCTCTGTTACAAACGGCTTCGAACGCTGCTACATGTCATATCTTCTCCTCGGCCTCCAATCCGGTACAGATTCCCCAGTTAGAAGATTAATTATTCCCTCTGGGGAGGCAGTGAGGGTGGGGCTGCCCAGAGACAGAGTCCCGAGGAAAGGGAGGAGACGGGGAGCTGGCAAGAGAGAAGAGATTAGTGAGGAATCTCTGCTCACGTTTCCACAAATGTTTTGACTAGACAAGTTAAAACCTCTCTGTCATCAGCACTCACCTGCCGATAATGTGGCCCGACGGGGCCCCCGTGGGCTCGCAGAGAGGGCAGCCTGGCTGGGATGTCCAGAATCAGATGGAAGAAAGACAGACGCTAGACTCCGGAGCTAATGAAATCGTCCGAAAGGCTATTCAGAATGAACGACGGCTACGAACATTTGCTTCTCGTTTTCAGCGGACGCCACCCGCCGGGGACAAGTTAAAATGTATTTTTTTTTGGAAGTCTGAAAGTAAGGGTGACGTGAAGGGTCAATCCTTGCTGGTTTTTTTTCTTTACATGCCCTATAACTCAGGCGTTGAGGGCGAGAGCTCAAGTCAGATAGCATGCGATGAACAGAAGAGAGTGAGATCAAAATCACAGAACAAAATAGAAGCGAAGAGGCAGAATATATCGAGGGTCAGAATTCACTTGAGCGCGTTCACTAGGGTCTCACGGAGCTTGAGTGAAAGATGACACATCTGGTTCTAATGAACATACCTGCTAAGTGAGACAGCAGTTCCTGAGCTCGTCTCCGTAACCAGAGAGGCGAGGCTGTGGTCATGTGGTCAACTCTGAACCCAAGCCAGGCTGCGTTGGCTGGGGGTGCATCTGGTCACCCATTCCAGTCTTCGCGGTGGCGATCAGAGACAGGAGGTCCACCATCCTCTACCGGGTGATGGGTGAATAGATGAGCTTCTGAGAGATGGAATAATGTGGCCTGCGTGTCTGGATATCTTTAAAAAACAGTTTATCTTAGGGGGTAACTGCCCCTACTCCACTATGGCCTACCATAACCCTTTATAACATCTTTCTAAAGGGACCTGCCACTATGGCACACACTTAGTGGATGCCCACAGACTGCAGTCATTGTGGCTGACATGATTATGGAGCATGTGTATCTATCGGGCGTGTGGAGGAGTTGGGGTAAACGGGCCGGTGCTGTCACAAAAATGAACTGCCACATACAGGCATAATGACCAATGTGGTGCCAAAATGGACCGACAGTACTGAACACACACACACACGCACACGCACACGCACACGCACACACACACACACAGAGTATCAAATAGTATTATTAGTACCTTTATCCATTAGTTAGATAACCTGAGTATATTTAACTACATAAATCCCCACAATTTCTGTAATAACAAAAGCAAATTTATTATGTCAGCTCTAAATAGCGGCTATTTAACATACCTGACTAGACTGCATGACTGCATGCAAAAAGCTTACATGTGATTGGATGATTCCTTGCACCCCTATGGAAGTACATAGCACACCATTGGACAACAATCGGACCGACAGACTGGCAACTCCCTCTGTCCTGTCCCCCCCCCCACTCTCTCTCTCTCTCTCTCTCTCCCTTTGTTTCTCCATCGCTATGGACACAGCCTCGATTATACCGGTTTGAGATACCTGTAGGTTTGTGCTGCGAAGCCTGGCCAGCCGCCTGCCGCTAAACCCAGGAGGTTTGCAATTAGGCTAAATCGTTCCTCTGAAGCGAGGGGGGAGAAAGGGGCAGCTAAGCTGGAATAACAACAATCTCACGCCATGCAAGATGCTATCCTTATTCCCCGATTAATCACCCTAAGCTTCCAGAAGGTAATACTGGTTCATGCGTCTTTAAAGTGCCGCTCACATGCTAAGTCTGTTCCATTATCTAAAATGAATCTCTCCGTGTGGCACGAGGGACTGAGACGTAAGCCTCCCTGCTCTCGTTTTTACAGTGATAAAGGCGTCTATTCACTCCATCCTCCCAGGACTCGAAAAACGATACCATCTCTCGCTCGCTGAGTTGATATCCCTCCTGGGGAGTCTGGGAAGGGGAGGGGGGCGGGAGTTCAGATTAAAACATCACGCTATTAAGAAATGACCCTCTAGAGTAGAGAACAGTGGGGCAGCCGGTATGCAAAGATGTTTCACAGAGGAATGTTCTACAAGAAAATCCTGGTACTCATTGGCGCCGGTGAAGAAGATAGGTGAAAGTTCAAGGCACAAGGACCAGTGTTTTGGTTACTATGGATACGACTGACACGGCAACAGGAAGCCAGACTGGAACACCCTCCCTGACGTATAAAGACACCTCGGTCGGCACCTCCTGTGCAATCTCGTGATGCCGCTGCGGTCCTTACTTCACATTCCCTCTGGGGCGGCTTGTTGCTGGGGTGATGGTAGCCAAATAAGTTCATGGGGCAGCCCACTATGTGTCGTTCCTGGTGGTTTGCTGGGAAATCCCAAAGCCGGACCCCATTTTACAGAGGTATCCGCTACTGGACCTGACCGCACACAGATGGGTCTGGGTGTGCTGGAAGTCGCCACAGGCCCGCGGAAAACGTGCAATTAAGGCGGAGGGCGGTCCCCTGAAAAACACGCAGTGACCACATCCACGGATAGGAGACTGTATGCTGGGGTCACTGAAAAAAATCCCAGCCGAGAGCAAACCTACAGCACCTTCGGAGATGCTCAAAGGAGGATTGAAGCACTTGGATCACATGGGGGAAAAAAACTTCAGGCAATGAGAGGGACACTCAAGATTAGGCCCCCTGCTTCTGCTTCTGTGAGGGGAAGCATCTCCCTTTTGGTTCAGGCAATGAGAGGGACACTCAAGATTAGACCCCCTGCTTCTGCTTCTGTGAGGGGAAGTATCTCTCCTTTGGGTCAGGCAATGAGTGGGACACCCAAAGATTAGGCCCTCTGCTTCTGCTTAGGAAGACATGTACCAAACTAAAACCACTCCTTTCTTAGTTTAAAGTTTGCAAACATTTTAATTACACATAAAAGGAAATTGTCCAGGCTTCGCTGTGTCATCTGTTATGCATTTTCAAAGCAAACTGTGTGGATATACAGCACTAATTAAGGACCTCGGCGGTCAGCTCACATTCAGAAATACACGCCTGCACCGGATCTCATGTTCCTCAGCAGGGAAGATTTGCATGGTACATGTGAGAATCGTTACGGACTAAATTTAATCTGGGAAGACTCACAAGCTTTAAAATAATAATTATGCATTTACTAATTTGTATAAACCATCGGTTTTCTTGATTATATATTCCTTTTGTCTATTTTTAAATCATGGATTTGTACTTGGCCTATGTATGCAATTCAAAGTGAACTTTATCGTCATTGGGCAGACACACAACAAAATTCTTCACGTATGCCTGCTTGCACCTCTGCATTCTGGGAGCACGTCCGTGTGTGGGTCCGTATCACCGTGAGCTGGAATGGCCCGGAAATCTCCCGGCAACCAGCAGGAGCCCATAGAAAGTCGCTGACAGCTCCCGCATTGAAAGTCGTGGCCTAGGCGAGCAAGGCCCCAATCCAGGAACACCCCCGGCCCGCCCCCCCTCCCCGGGGGCTAGCCCTAGGGAGCAGGCCCCGCGTGGGGACGCCCCAGGGAGCCTTCTCTCCCAGTGCTGGCTTTTGTAGATCAGTCAGCGGCTCTTTGTGGGCCAGTGCCGTGGCCGCGGACGGCCTTAATTACCGAATCGTCCCAGAATGGCCGATGAGCGCAGAATGAGAGGCGAGCGAAGAGCCGCTGTGAGAACGGCGATTCGGCTTTGAGCGGCCCGGCCTTCACGGTTTACATTAAAAAAGCGTAATTATAATTAACGGGGCGAGCGGCTCGGCAAGCAAGGCTTTCATTAGTGTGCGTGGGAACATTGAGGCCAGGAGGGAGCGCGGGATTCTGGGAGATCGGCAGCCTGGGGCCCGGTGAATGCATACAGAGATATGACTAAAAACACACACACACAGACACACACACACATAATAAATACAGCAACACACACAAATATACCGACATAAATATGACAAATAAAACACATAAATACACCAATACACACACAATACCACATATAAACACACAAACACACACAGATATACCAATACACATGCCAACACACACAAACACACACCGCTCATTCATTTCTATGGGGAAAATGCTAATGCTAACTATGACAACCTTAACCCCTACCCTGCCCTAACCATAACCATAAGCTAACCTAACAAAATACAAGAGTTTTTGCATTTTTAGTTTTTTCATTGCAGTCACGGATTTTTATAAAATAGAGTTTTCCCTTATGGGGACTAAGAAACTAGAAAACGGCTCTTCATAACGTTGTGGGTCCCCACAAAGTAAGGTATACCTGGACCACATACACACCCACACAAATACATGAAACACACTCTGATATACCAATACACACGCAGAGACACCAACCAAGAGAAATAACCAACACATTAGTATCACACATTACTGTGGGCAGTTTAGCGACCCCCCCCCCCGCACAGTCATTCACCACTGAACCTCCTTGACAGTAGCTAAGACAAGGAAAAAAATTTAAACAGGAATTTTAATAAGCAATGCCAACAACTAAACCACAGAATTATAATACAAAGAGTATGAACATTCTGAAAAATTCAGTTTTAACAACAATACAACGATTTTTTTTAAATGAATATATAGAAAGGAAAATACAGCACATGCAAGAGAACCTCAGGGAAGCACTGGACTAAAGAAACACTCCTTAAAAACAAAATAAAATAAATCTACTAAACTGTGTTTAAACTGTGTGTAGGATATGCAGAATGCCCAACACTGAACAAAAATCCATGTAAATATGGCAGCAGCTGAAGTGAAATGAAATGCTACAGGATGTAGAGGTTAGGTTTTGTTTGGTTGGCCTTCACTGGCATTCCTGCATCTGAGGCTGCAGCCCAGAGTACACCCTCTAGCACCTTACCTATCTCAACATCACTGATCCCATATTGGAGATCGGATACACCAAGGTTAAGGCATACCCAGTGGTGCTGAGGATGCCGGACCGGCAGAACCACTGGGACGGTGCGTAGCCATTTATTCACTTTCCCGGGGTTCGATGCTGAAATCCCTCCTTCAGTGGAGGGGAAGGCGAGTGCTACGCTTCGGTCTCGCCGTGGACGTTCTCCATGTGCACCTTGAGGTAGTCGTTGCGCGTGAACTTCTTGTGGCAGAGCTGGCATTCCGCCATGGGCCGGTTGGGGTTGTGGGTCAGCTTGTGGCGGATTAACATCTTCTTCAGGCTGAAGGACAGGTCGCACACCTGCAGGGGGAGCTGTCGTTACCTCTGACATCTGCCTGCCTTGCACCTTGGTCTACAACAGTGTTTCCCAACCCAGTCCTCAGGGAACAACGGACATTCCACGGTTTTGCTTCCTCTCAGCTCCCAGCGCACCTGTACCAGGTATTCGGTGTTCCTGATTGGCTGGGAGCTGGGAGGGAGCAAAAACGTGGACTGTCTGGGCTTCCCCGAGGACTGGGTTGTGAAACACTGGTCTACTATACGACAGGGGTGATATTTGGGAGGGGGGGGGTATTTTGAGTAGTAACATTCACCGATGAAAAACAGAGCCGTTAGACCAGTAGATCCGCATCGTGGTACCCAGGCCATATTGTCATGTGACACGGGGCCGTCACAACCATGAAAGCCATGAAATCTGCAGAGCTGATGTAGTCCCCAAAAAGTTGCTGCAGAGACACAGAACAGTGTGATCCACGTCGCAATGGAAGCAGTCCGTCAGGGAAACGGACTTTGGAAGCTTCTGTTTGGGCCGAAACACACACCCCCCCCCCCAACCCCCATCCTGCAGACACTGCGTTTCCACGTGGCTCGCAAGTAAATAAAATCCTACTGAACAAGCTGCTTAAAAACACACAAATCATCCCTTTTATGAGCGTTGATCCTCTTCCAGGTGACACAGCGACCGCCCGGGCCATGATGAATTATCTCCGCCATGCGCCCCCCCCTCCGCTAATCAGCTTAAGCTGCCCCATCTGGGAAGGGAGGACTTGCCCGTGGCGTTTACCAGAGCGTATAACAGGCCTGCAGAATGTGCCCGTGGATACAGCCAGTGGAGTTAAAGCTCTGGGCCTTTAGGGGGCGCAACTCCGAGGTCTGGGCAACAACTGTAAGCTCGCTGTGTTTCCAGCTTGCAGACATAAATCACATGGGAGGCCCCCTCTCCAGCGGCAACCTGTCTAAAATCATTTAAAAAAATGGATACATAAAACTGAAGACCTTTTGCATCTGCAGCAGTTTGCAAGGGACATTCCCCGGTTCTATCCTCTGTTTTCTGGATTCCTCTCCCTTCACGACGCCCTCGAATTCGCAGTACGCCTCACAGAACGCCCAGGCTGTGGCATCCGGTGACAGATCCCAGGAATGCGCCACTTTCAAAGATGACGTGGTCCGCAAAATTCTGGACGCCAAACCCGAGCAGGAGATCAGGCAGTGTGCCGGCTCTGTGGCCACTCTATCCGCCAGCGTCGGAAGGTTGTGGGTTTGGTACTACAGCCAAGCCCAACCAAAAAATTAAAGCCAAAAAAAAAGCACTTCTGTGCTTTCCTTCCAGAAGCTGCAGTGATGTATTATGGGTATTGGGGGTCCTGTTAAGAGGTCCCATGTTTGGGGGTCATATTGTTTCAGGATTCGCAAACTGGATCGGGTTGAATCCCCAAGTAAAACCGCTTGACTTTGTATACTAATTCCAATACTAATTAAAGAATCCACGGTAATAATTAAGATGAGACTTGCTAATGAGAAAAGCTCTATCAACTTTAAGGAAACATGCTTTACATGAGTAATAAAGCCTGTCTGAGGCACAGTGCGAAACAGGTGCTTTAAAGCTCATAGAAACCGTGTCACATTTAACCATGTGACTCACTTTAGCTAGAAAAGACGCGTCACGTTCTGAAAGGTTCAGGAAACGACCTGATTTATTCATCCTGGGATTCAAGCAGCCTTTAAATGGGAATTCAACGTTCATGGTGGGGGGGGGGTGTCTTCAATTCTTTGTGCGACACTGGAAAAATCTGCGGCCTTGTTCTGGAGCCACAGTGACAGGATTGGTTTGGACAGCGCCGCACATGGGCTGTTTTCTAACATCTCTGCGATGCTGCAGGATGTGGACATGATGTGGACGCCTCAGGACGTGAATAAAGACGCGCGGCCAATCGGACAAAGCCAGGTGAGACGCGCGGCCAATCGGACAAAGCCAGGTGAGTGGCTCAACTCGGCCTCTTTAGGTGCCTAGAAATTTCAGAAATAGGTTCAGGTGACCGTAAGAGAAAAGCCAAAGGTTAGGCGTTAGGGGTCAGGGCTCAGACTTACGTCACACTGGAAGGGTTTCTCGCCGGTGTGCGTCCTCATGTGCTCGTCCAGGCCTCGCTTCTGGCTGAAGGCCTTGTTGCACTCAATGCACTTGTAGGGTTTCTCCTGGAAGGGAGAGCATCAATGAAACTGCAGCTCGTTAGATCGGCCCGGCGCAGTGGCGAGTCCGAAGGGATCCGCATAAATCTGTACGTCCCAAAAAAACCAAAACGAAACACAGAGCATGTTTGTGAGGCGTTATTTTACCCCAAAGCTTCATGTCAGCTTTCTCTCTTAATGGCTTATGTGTGGGTATCAGAATGATCTAGAGCAGGCCTCCACGCAAGTCTGATTTAAACACATCCATCCACGTACCCATCTTCTAACCATTTATCCTGGTCAAGGTCATGGGGGAGATTTAAACAAACTTAACCAAATTTAAACAAAGTAAAGAAGATCCTGGCCAAATGAAAGGACGTTCTGACAGGTTTAAATGGATAAAGAGCAAGCCTGGGGCAGAACCCAGGAGGCCCGTTGGATGAGACGGGCTAAGGTAGCACGAGAATACGAGTAAAAAGCAACGCCATGTCCTCCCGTAGGTACAGAGATGGGAGAAATGGGGGGGGGGGG